TTGTTTGTTGGAATCTGGGGAATCTGGTCACTGCACCCGATCTTGAAGAGAACATCTTTCGGCTGGGCCTTGCTGTCGAAAGCCCACGGTGATTTTCCAGTCAGCATGTGTAGAACCGAGCAGCCCAAGGCCCAAACATCCGACTCCGGCAAGTACTTCTGCTGGGCTATCGACTCCGGGGCCGCGTACATAACCGTGCCCCTGAAATCATCACCTACTATTTCCGTCGACGGAGCTCGTCTTGCAGCAGCAGCTCCCGAGATCTGCGAGCTTCGCGTCTTGGCCGACGAGCAACACGTTGTGAGGCTTCACGTCGCAGTGAACGTAGCCCGCCTTGTGGATGTGAAGGAGCGCCGTGAGTATGGATTTCGCGCAGCGGCTGACCGTGATTTCCGGAAGGCCTTTGACGGTGATGTGGTCGACGAGGCATCCGCCCGAGGCATACTCGAGCAATATGTTGTAGAGTTTCTCCCCGTTTTCGGTGGTGATTTCGTCTCCAAAGCAGCGGAGGATAGAGGGGCATGACTGGAACTTGTCGAGCAGCACCTTCTCCTTCTGCACTGATTCGGATTCGGAAAAATTGGCGGATTTCACGGCAATCAACGGCGGCAGATTATGATCTTGCATGGTTTTGGCGATGGAGACGAACCCAAAACCACCCTTTCCGAGGGTTTCTCCTCTAACCCAACCCATTCTCTCTCTCTCTGATTCTTTCTGCGTGATTTTTACTCTTTGTGAATTTTTGTTTTTCTCTCAAGGCTGACTCTTTTGAACTCTATATATATACGTGTGTGTGTGCGCTTTTGGTTTGAGTAATGATCAAGTATATAATAGGGTGAAGAGCGTGTAGGTTTTATATGATTTTACCGACTATATACTACGGGGAACCCTATTCTCCAATAATTAAAATTATGCACACGCGCGCTCTGTATACATCTTTCTATACAGACTATACTAGGGCATCCATATGTTGTGGATTTCAAAATTCAGTTCTATAATTTTTATTTTACATTATCTAACTATATTTAGTATTACTGCTTTTTTTTTTTTTTTGTTTCATTATTAATAATTTATTATCATGATTTTGTATTTTCACTCTTAATGTTACAGGAAAAACATTCGGCAACCTTTTTTAAAAAAAAAACATTTAATTTTAAAAATAAAATCATGTCTTTATAAACAACACCGATTTAAAATTGATGTGATAGAAATTATTTTTGTATTGAAAAAAAATAGAATAAATTATCTTTAACATCCATAATTAATCCTTTTATCTCTTTTCTTATAAATAATTTATTACCATAGTATTATTTTCTTTAATAATTTCAAATTTCATATTTTTCATAAGCATTTTCATTTAGGTAATTTCATTGCAAGATATTTTACAATTCTTTATTATTCTCTTCTCACCACAAAAATTTTGTCGAAATTTTGTATTAAAATAATATTTAAAATAAAATAATTAAATTTTATTTGATGTAAAAATGTGATAAATTTTTTTGAAAATGATGAATATTTAAAATTATGTGAGGGAAAATGATTTTGTTTTATTATATTGACAATATTAACTATAGTGGAACTAAGTTAAAATTTAAGTTATATTTTAAATTAATAAATTGTATGTGGGTTTTTATATCAAGCACACCCTTGGGTATATATAGTGTGGCCGAGGAAATTGCAAATTTCGTCCCCTTTGATTGGGACGGTTTTATTTTTAGTCCCAAGAGGCACATTTTCAGTCTTTAACTAATGTTTGTTCCGCATCTGGTCCCAAATTCAGTCCTTAAATAATTTTTGTTCCGCATTTGGTCCCAAAAATTAACAGACTGTGAAACCGTTAACACTCAGGACTAAAATTGCGACCGTGGGACTAAAATTGGACCGTCCCAAATCCCAATTTGACGGGACCAAATTTATAGTAGTTGATATTATTTTCATTTTTATTTTTATTTTTTAAAATTTTATTAAACTCTACAGTTATATTTTATCAACCACTATAATTATAATAAAATTAAATGATAATTTTCTAAATATATTCAATATTTAATTAAAATATTTGAAATATAGAAAGCATTGTATTGCAGTTAAAGTTTTTAATACATTAATAATAATATAAATTTAAATTATTTGAATTTATATGTATGAAATATAATATAAGTTTATATTTTTGTTAGATTAAAAAATATATAAATATTTATTATCTTATTTAAATACACACACACACAATTGATTAGTCCAATCAACCAATTCTGACTGGTTCATTGGAAACCAGCTTGTTCAATGGAATCCAACCATTTGACCGATTCTATATTCAACAGTCAGTTTAGCCCAATTTTAAAAAATAATAGTAGTTGATAATATTTTTATTTTTATTTTACGTTTTAAATTTCTATTAACCTCTACAATTGTATTTTTTTATCAACCAATATAATTATAATAAAATTAAATATTTTTTTTGTAAATATATTTTTTATTTAATGAAAAATATTTTAAATACAGAAAACATAATAATATAAATTCAAATATATTTGAATTTATATATATCAAATATATTTAAATTTATATTTTTGTTATATTAAAAATATAAAAAAATTTTTAACTTATCAATATATATATATATATATATATATATATATATATTATTGACTAGCCCATTCAACTAATTCTAGTCGGTTCATGTTTGGTTGAGTTTTCAAATTAATAATAGTTGATATTACTTTTATTTTTATTTTTATTTTTAAATTTTATTAACCCCTACAGTTCTACATTTCTTATAAAATCAAACAATTATTTCTAAATATATTTATTATTTAGTAAAAGTTAATTTTAAATATAGAAAACATTGTATAGTTATTATTATTATTATTTTGTCTCGATACTAAATTTTTACCATCACATATTGTTTTATACTAACGGGATAAAAAACTGCAACAAAAAAAAGTAATAAAACTGAGGAAATTATAAATTCTCGTTAGATTGGGACGGTCCAATTTGAGTCTCTCGGTCGCAATTTTAGTCTTGAGGGTTAATGGTGACTTCACGGTCCGTTGAATTTGGGACCTAATACGGAACAAACATTAGTTAAGAACTAAAAATGTGCTTCTTGGGACTAAAAATGAAACTGTCTCAATCTAATGGGACAAAGTTACAATTTCGTCTAGTGTGGCCACTGGCCACCAACTCGGCTGATATTTTGAAGGTTGGAGGGACACATTTGGGGCATAAAACCCTAGTTCAAATTTGCAGCCCCCAAAACCCAAAACCCTCCAATTAGTTCAGAAACCTTGCAAATAAAGTCCCAGAATTAAAACCATGGTAGCTCGAAGCAAGGCTGATGCTCATGGCGGCCACGATTTGACCTTCACTGATAGTAAACCTACGAAGATCAGGTTCCAGTACGACGAGGACGATGATGCAGAAACCATTGAAGAAGCTGCCACAGAGAGTTCGATTCTCGAGGAGGATTCCGTCATGGGCGATCCCGAGGATTCCTTGATTGCTTCGGATGATAAGACGAGCGCCGATTATTACTTCGATTCCTACTCGCATTTCGGTAATTCATCCCTCTTCGAACGTTGTGGCTCTTCAAAATTAGTCTTGTGTGTGCTTCATAATGTGACGATTTTAGTGTGATTTGAGGAATTAGTTTATGTATATGATGTTTGATAGTCCGGGACTGGTTAGGATGAGCGCATATGCCAGTAGATTGCATATAATGTATGCTGCAGAAATTCATTTGTGTATATATTTGGGCATAATGTTGAACACAGTTGGTGATTGAATAGAGTTGCTGGAACTTTGGAATGGCAAAAATTGACATTATCGATTTTGGCTGGTCAGGTGTACTCTGTGGAAGCGTTTTCATAGTCAGAAAGAAGGGGTTTTCAGAATGAATTGGAAATGATGAATTCGTTGAAGGGTTCTATGCATTTGTTTGTTTTCCTTTCCGTAACATTTTTTTTTTTTTTGGGACTTTTTACAAATCGTCAATTGTCATCTTTTGCGATAGTGTGGTTCTTATGTGCAAGATCATGCCAAGTAATTTTAACTGAATATCTTGATTTATTTGTGTCCATCTAAAATGTGCAAGTTTTTTTTTAATGTGATACCATTTCCATTGCAGGAAGAAAGAAGGAATTAGCTAGTATTGACATTGTAATATAGTGGTGAAGAGAAAAGATATATACAAGAATTGTTAAAAATATTCAGTGTACAAACATATTGAAGATGTAATCAGCAGGCCTGCACTTTTGGATGGTGAAAACAGTGTGGCACCAAAGAGTGAATGCCATGAGACAATCTATGGTGGTGATGATTGTATTTTCCGGCAACTGTCGGTCGATCGGCCTTGTTGACAAATGGATGGTCGAGAAGCATATCAACTTTCCACCTGGCCGTCGGATCTTTCACCAAACACTTTGCGAGAAAGTCTTTAGCCTCTTTGGATATTCTATTGTTTGTTGGAATCTGGGGAATCTGGTCACTGCACCCGATCTTGAAGAGAACATCCTTCGGCTGGGCCTTGCTGTCAAAAGCCCACGGTGATTTTCCAGTCAGCATGTGTAGAACCGAGCAGCCCAAGGCCCAAACATCCGACTCCGGCAAGTACTTCTGCTGGGCTATCGACTCCGGGGCCGCGTACATAACCGTGCCCCTGAAATCATCACACCTACTATTTCCGTCGACGAAGCTCGTCTTGCAGCAGCAGCTCCCGAGATCTGCGAGCTTCGCGTCTTGGCCGACGAGCAACACGTTGTGAGGCTTCACGTCGCAGTGAACGTAGCCGGCCTTGTGGATGTGAAGGAGCGCCGTGAGTATGGATTTCGCGCAGCGGCAGACATTGATTTCCGGAAGGCCCTTGACGGTGATGTGGTCGACGAGGCATCCTCCTGAGGCATACTCGAGCAATATGTTGTAGAGTTTCTCCCCGTTTTCTGTCGTGATTTCGTCACCAAAGCAGCGGAGGATAGAAGGGCATGACTGGAACTTGTCGAGCAACTCCTTCTCCTTCTTTAGTGATTCGGATTCGGAAAAATTGGCGGATTTCACGGCAATCAACGGCGGCAGATTATGATCTTGCATGGTTTTGGCCATGGAGACGAACCCAAAACCACCCTTTCCGAGGGTTTCTCCTCTAACCCAACCCATTCTCTCTCTCTCTCTCTCTCTCTCTCTCTCTGATTCTTTCTGCGTGTTTCTTTACTCTTTGTGATTTTTTTTCTCTCTCGAGGTGGACTCTTTTGAACTCTATATATATATGGGTGCTTTTGGTTTGAGTAATGATCAAGTATATAATAGGGTGAAGAGCGTGTAGGTTTTATATGATTTTACCGACTAATACTACGGGAAACCCTATCCTCCAAGAATTAAAATTATGCATCCATATTTGATTTCAAATTCAGTTTTAGAATTTTAATTGTACATTATCTAGCAATTTAGTATTACTGCTAATTTAATTTTTTTTTTTTTGGTTTTATTATTAATAATTTATTGTCATGATTTTGTATTATCAATCCTAATGTTACAGGAAGATAAGCTATTTAGTATTACCGCAAATTTTTTTTTTTTTTTTGGCTTTATTATTAATAATTTATTGTCATGATTTTGTATTCTCAATTCTAATGTTACAGGAAAACATTTGGTAACCTTTTAAAAAAAAAATAATAATAATTTTTAATATAAAGTATTAATTTTTATATTAATATAATAAATATTAATTTTTTTTATTTCAGTTCTAGAATTTTTATTTTACATTATCTAGGCTATTCAGTATTACTGCTAATTACTTTTTTGTTTTTGTTTTATTATTAATAATTTATTATCATAATTTTGTATTTTCAATCTCAATGTTGCAGGATAACATTTGGTAACCTTTCTTTAAAAAAAAAACAATTAATTTAAAAATAAAATCAAGTCTTTATAAACAATACCGATTTAAAATTGATGTGATAGAAATTATTTTGTATTGAAAAAAATAATAAATCACAATTACAACATTTCTTTAATTATTATTGTTTTATTTTAAATTCATAAGTGTCATTCTAAAATATTAATTTAGAATTATCTAAAACATTTATTAACATCCATAATTAATCCTTTTATCTCTTTTCTTATTAGTAATTTATTACCATAGTATAAATAATTTCAAATTTCATATTTTTCATAAGCATTTTCGTTTAGGTAATTTCATTGCAAGATATTTTACAATTCTTTATTATTCTTTTCCTTACCACGAAAATTTTGTTGACTCAACCCCTTCTGGAGGAGTGGTGACAGAAGTGGGCCTCGAGCCCTGGGAAAAGCTCGTGGCTGGATGTATGCTCACTCGAATAAGCAACGCCTAGAGAACTATATATCGTTCGTACAATAGAGCGATTTCTTCGTTGATCGAACTGTCTAGCTGATCCGTCTCCTCTCTAAGAAGGTCGTCGTCCAGGAAAACGTCATCCGTGTCTCTAAGCGTGTATGTGGATAAGGGTTCAGCCTCTATATCGGAAGAAAGGATGGTGAAGTGAGAGTGATTTTCATGTGATTAATTTGTGCTCGTTTCAGTTTATTTTAGGTTTTTCTCGGTTCATTTTGTCGTTTTTGATCGCTTATTTGTTTTCAGTCATTTTTGCTCGTTTACTTGAAGTCAGTTCAATTTTTTTTCAACAAACCTGCAATAATTTGTTTAGCTCTTTTACATAATTCAGGATCCACCCATTTATAAAAGCCACAATACCTAACATATTAAAATTTAATTTAATAATAATAACAATAAAACTTCTAAACAAAATCATAGATTGATCTTCAAATCTTAAAAACATTACTTCATATTTAGCACTGTCAAACGGGCCGGTCCGGCCCGGCGCGCTCCGGCCCGCGGTCCAAACGGGGCGGGCCAAAATGGCCCGCATTTCTACGGGCTTGAAAATACATAGCTCGTGGCCCGCCCGCATTAGCCCGCGGGCCAAATTGGCCCGCCCGCGGGTTTTGTTTGTTTTTTTTTTTTTATGGTATTTGCACTCTTATATATTTTTTGGTTTGTTTATCCTTATATTTACTAGTATATTAATAAACTAGTAAGGTTTCATGTGTAATGATGTTAAATATTTGTCATCTATTTTTTATTTTTATTTTTTTTTTATCAATAGTTATAGGGTATTCACGCGCAGGAACGACTTAATTGACATAAAATATTATTTGATTTATTAATATTTTTATTATGTAAAAAAAATATTTCATGTGCAAGTTAGAAATTAGAAGTAAAATAAAAAATACTAAATTTTTTTTAAAAAAAAAAAGGGCCAGCCCGCCCCAGCCCGCGGGCCAAACGGGGCGGGCCAAATAGGCCCGCGATTGAACGGGCTGGCCAAGCAAAGGCCCAAGCCTGTCCGTTTAAGCAGGCCATTGGCCCGTTTGACAGTGCTATCCATATTATTTAAGGTAAATTAACTCAATATCTTCTTCGCGGATTATGTGGAGTCCAAGAAGTCTTCGAGAACACTTTGATCCAATGATAGTAGGCTCAACATTTGATGCTCTAAGAAATTGTGAATTCCAACTCTCAATTGAAGACTTCAACTCATTTTTTTTTTCAAGAGAAGTGTGAAACTTTCTCCTTTTATACCAAGATTTTCACCGGCTGAAACAAGTCGTTGGTCAAAGAGACAGACCAACAGAAAACATCAATATTGATTGACAAGCCAAACATAGGGTATGTAAGTCATTAAGTGAGTAGATGAATTATCGAAAGTGAAAAGAGAAGACAGTTAGAGTACCAAAACAACATTTTTCATAAAAAAAATAATAAGATAATTAGAGCTCATATTTTCAAGAAAAGCACGAATCACAAGATATAGCAGCAATAGAAAATAGAGAGATGAAAGAAAAAATAGAAAGATAAAGATGTGTAATAGAAGATTTCCAAAATGAATTCCGTCAAATTGAAAAATATATTAAATGGACTGGAATAAGAAATCACGTTGATTGTAGGCTAGGTAATTTTTCCAAATAGTTATACACAATCGATCAGATACTAAAAATAAAAAAAAAAGTTATGGACTGGAATAAGAAATCACGTTGAATATTGTCGTTTTAATAGGTTTTATTGGTTATCCATAGTTAATTTTGAAAAAAAAAAAAAAAAATGGTTGACTTAGGTTTGAGTGAGATTTTGAATTTGTATTAAAATAATATTTAAAATAAAATGATTAAATTTGATTTGAGGTAAAAATGTGACAAATTTTTTTTTGAAAGTGATGAATATTTAAAATTATGTGAGTGAAAATGATATTATTTTATTATATTGACAATATTAACTATAGTGGAATTAAATTAAAACTTAAGTTATATTTTAATAAATTAATAAATTGTATTTGGGTTTTTATATCAAGCACAATCTTGGGTATATATAGTGTGGCCACTGATATTTTGCAGGTTGGAGGGTAAGGATGGCAGCGGTTCGGGTTCAGATCGGATGGAACCTCAGGGCACCCAAAACCAAAACCCAAACTTAAAAACCAAAACCAAAACCAAAACTGTTTCGGGTGAAAATCCTTCACCAAAACCAAAACACGCGGATACCCAAAAACCAAACGGATATCTAAAAAACCAAAAATATTATAATAAAACACCAAAGACAACAACATAAAACATGATAACTTAGAGAGTACCAGGCAACCAGTCACAAATTAGCAAGTACCAACGTACAGTACAAGCCATAAAGGTAGTAGAGTACATAGCTAAGCCAAGCTATCACGGGAGACGGGGAGAGGATAAGAGGGAGAGGAAATTTCCACTTATATAGCTAGGGTTTTTGGTGGGCTTTTTGATGGGCCGTCTATTTTGGGCACCCAACGGAGCACCACGGGCGAAATATAGGATCCGCACCAAAACCGAAGACTTTCGGGTACCCAAAACCGCAAAACCGTGGGTGAAATTTGAGAACCAAAACCGAAAACCGCAGAACCAAAAACCGCGGATATCCGAACCGAAACCGAACCGCTGCCATCCCTATTGGAGGGACACATTTGGGGCATAAAACCCTAGTTCAAATTTGCAGCCACCAAAACCCAAAACCCTCCAATTAGTTCAAAAACCCTGCAAAATAAAGTCCCAGCATTGAAACCATGGAAGCTCGAAGCACGGCTGATGCTCATGGCGGCCACGATTTGACCTTCACTAATAGTAAACCCACGAAGATCAGGTTCCAGTACGACGAGGACGATGATGCAGAAACCATTGAAGAAGCTGTCACAGAGAGTTCGATTCTCGAGGAGAAGAACATCAAGCCCATCACCCCCACAAATCGAGCAAACACCGAGGCAAGGTCAACCGAGAAAGGCCCTGAGAACTACACCCCACAAAAGCAGAACCGACAAACCCCAAAGGTCAACCTGGAATCGAGCCGCAGAACCGATGATCACTCCTAGAGTACCGCATACCCGTCCAAGTTGGTCCACCACCACAGCCCCCTCCAAGCACACTCCGGAGCACTCCATTGCCTGGAGTCACCGCTAGGAGGTCCTCGCTATCCAAGCACCAGGGAAGGCTGGGAAAAGAAGGATCCATGGTTGAACCACCACCACAAACCACCGGAAGGCGCTCGTGACGACCATGCCTGCCATGACACTCGAAACAGAGTGATACCACTACGGAGCTGGAGAGCCGAGGCCGTCTTGTCCACACCGACAAACTTGGTGCGACCCAAATGTTCGCTAGAGGCGTGCGGACAATGGCAGCACGAGGTGAGGCACACCCATGCAAGATGACGACTAAGGTTCGACTTAATAGGAATTGGGGATTTTATTTTTTTTATTTTTTTATTAGATAGTCGACTGTCTACGTTCTACAAAATTTATTAGTTCACTATAAAAAGAGTTCAATTTAGTTCTTTTTGGTTTTTTTTTCCTTTTCTTTCTCTCTGAGGATTTTGGACGAGAAAATTGCAATTGTAGTCCATCAACTTAGGTTGTTTCCCATTTTAGTCCACTAACTTAGGCCGATCCAAGTTTGGTCCAAAAACTTCCAAAAGTTAGTTAAATCAGTCCAATTGGACTAAAATTGGACTAAAATTGGACTGAAATTGACCAATCAATTGGACTGAAATTGGACTGATTTAACTAACATTTGAGAGTTTTTGGACCAAATTTGGATCGGCCTAAGTTAGTGGACTAAAATGAGAAACAACCTAAGTTTTTGGACTAACTTTTGAGAGTTTTTGGACCAAATTTGGATCGGCCTAAGTTAGTGGACTAAAATGGGAAACAGCCTAAGTTACTGGACTAAAATTACAATTTTCTCATTTTGGACAATGTTATATTACCAAAACCAGAGACCAAAATCTACTTACCAACTACAGAATAAAGAGTCGCTTGTCGCCATAAATAATGCACATAAGAAAATGTAAAGGAATAAAGGATCATTCGTAAAAATCAAGCACATGTTACTGAACCCCTACATGTACATTAACCACCAAGAAGACCAAGTACTTGGCCAACAAAGAGCACCCCGCTGCTCACAGCTTTCTCCCACGACCAACAAAAACGGATGATCAACCTCAAAATCCGATTCCGTTTGCTTGATGCTCGACAGAGCACAACCTACTAGACGATATGTAGAAAATTGGTGACATGACATGTCAAATTGGCCAATAAGTATCGATAAACCATCTCTCTCACTTGCATTGCAAGGAAAATGTAGTTGTACAGAAAGCCAAAAAATGGTAAAACGAATGGAAAAAAGAAAATCATTAGCTCAACTTGGCCATGAGTTTAACATCATCATCGATAATTAAACGGATTTTAAGCGAGCATGACCCACAAGGAAGAATAACGGATGACGGTAAAGATGTGTTTGCATGTAATATAAAAACTTCACCACCACTGTTGTTCGTAAAAGTAGGGTTGTAAACAAATCAAACCATTTTGATTCGATTCGTGATTCGAATCGTTAATTCGTGATTCGAATTCGAAATATTCGAATTCGAATTCGAATTCGAGTGATGTTTTAGATTCGAAATTATAACGAATTCGAATTCGAATGTGTAGATATTCGATTCGAAATTCGATTCGTTAACAATAATTATATAAATTTTACAAATTATATATAATATACATTTTGTTTATAATATATGTATATATATATTGTTATATTTCTAATATTTTTATGACATAAAAAGTAAAAAATCATAAATTAACAAATTTTTCTGAAATTTATTTTTGTAATTATAATATTTATTAATTATAATATTTTTATACAAATTATATATAATATACATTTTGTTTATAATATATGTATATGTATATATATATATATATATATTGTTATATTCCTAATATTTTTATGACATAAAAAGTAAAAACATCATAAATTAACTAAATTTTCTAAAAATACATGAAAAATAAAATTTATTTTTGTAATTATAATATTTTTTAATTATAATATTTTTTGAAAACGAATTTCGACTCGAATCGAATATGTTCGAATATTCTAAACGAATCGAATACGAATCAAAAAATGAATTCGTTATCGAATCGAATCACGAATCGAATCTTCGAATATTTTAAACGAATCGAATCGAATCTCTGAGTATTCGCTTTGATTCGATTCGTTTACAACCCTACGTAAAAGGATACCCCATTTCCTCCAGCTCAGACGAACCAATAGAGAAGAAATCCCCACACCTGCAATTATACAATAGTTCAAAACAGCCACCAAATTCTTCAACAATCATTGTCATTCAAGCTGACATCATCCGCATTCATGACATCGAGTCTCGATTTTCTCAGTTCATTGTCGTAAAGGGCTCGGGATTCAGGGTTGCTAAGGACTTCCCAGGCCTTCTGCACCTCTAAGAAGTGATTATTCCTCACGTGTGGTTCGGAAGATTTCTGCAGTTTATCTGGGTGAGAGTTGAGAAGGGCAGTTCGGTAAATCTTACGAATTTCTTCTTGGTTGGCATCTTCCTCGACTCCGATTATCTCATAATGGGTTTTGCAGACTAAGGTATTACTAAGTATCATGACTATAGGGGTTTCGTTGTATACCGACTAAGAAAAAAAAAAAAAAACAACAACAAAGAAATTAGGAATTTCACCAATTAAGAAGAACCCCAAATGCTAAAATGAATGAAGCATATAACTAGGCTCAAAGTTTTCTTTCTACTCGGGATAGTTAACGTGACACTTAATGTAAAATGTAACTCAGCCACTGAGTTACTGAAAACAAAAATCACATAAAAAGTTTGTCCTGTACAACAAGATGTGCCAGAGAGTTTCTAGCATATTACTAGCAGCCATCTATTGAAAGCCGATTTAAGATACAGGCGGCGGCGGCGGCTTTCCCCGGCAACTGCCCTTGGATTATTACATTCTGGGAAGTGCTTGACAGATTACTATATTTACACATAGAGGTCACTGAAAATACCAAAATATCAGTAAACATCACAAATCAATTGTTCACAAATCTTTGGGTGTTTCAAAATTCCCTTAGATCCGAGCCAGATACAGTTAGAATTGCAGTAGCTGATTGGTTAGAGTTTAGCTCTATCTAGTTTCCTTGCTTCTTCTTTTGTTTGTAGCTTGTGTTGTTTGTTTTGGTAGACTTTTGATAACTAACTAGGTCCCTTTGGTTAGTTATTTTTGCTCTGTGGCTCTGAACCATCCTGGGATTTCATTGCTTTGTTGAGTAGAAATTTAACATGGGTCCCTAAGCAGGGGCGAAGCTACTTGTACTGGTTGGGGTCGTCCGACACCGATTCTTTGCGTTGAATCACTTGTACGTAGCAAAATTTCACCGTGTAAGACCCCCCGACCCCCTCAACTAAAATTTCTGGTTTCGCCCCTGTCCCTAAGCTAAGCCTTAGCCAATGTTAAAATCTACTCACTTTTTTGTTTTGATTAGTTAGGAGTTTGTATCCTTCCTTGCATCTTTAGCTCTTGTAGCTTCGACCTATATAATTATTTTGCTCGAGTTATAATATCTGACGTTTCGGAAAAAGAAAAAAAAATAAGAGATGAATTGGATCTTAAAAAGCGGCTCTCATGTATTCTTTGATAAAACTGAAGTGAAAATTGAATTTATTTCATTTTTTTTTTTTAATATTTGTTTTATGATTTTTATTCTTAAGAAACGGGAAAATACTAGAGTATGTTGCGGAATAATTTTGTCGAGATTTGTAACCGTTATACCATCATGTAACCGTAGTGGATAGTTGATCTAACGGTCACAAAACCTGACGGAATGGTTTCGTGAGGAGAACTTAGAATCTCCCTGAAAAACAACCCTCCAATTTTTCCTTTTTTGCTTTCTTATATTAGTTCATTTAGTATGAAATTGTCACAATTTCCTACTCTTTGTGGGATCGACTTTTACATGCGCTACTACTAGTTAGAAGATGTTTGTTGAGAAAAAAAATTTATAAACTTAAATTTGCCGCATTGCGAGTGCGATCACTTATTATTGTAAGTTTTCAATTTTATTTTGTTATTATTATTGTTGGATGAATGCGAGTTCTCGAATTAAAGGGTCGGGGACTTACCATTATTAGGCTTGTGTATATGTTTTTACTTGATCCTTTATGTCCATTCCTTGTTGTTGGGTTCGAACTGCTAGGTGTGTCTCAGTCTTTAGACCGACTAATCATGCGTTTGACGTGGATTTTAGGACACGATGAGATTATTTCCCACACTCAAAACTTTTTTCTACATCTTAGTTAATTTTTTTAGTTATCTAATTACTTTTAAGATTCTTGGTAGTTATTAGATAATTTATCCAAATCACGAGCTATTAGAATATATAGGATTATATTTTTTTTGTTTTCGTGTGTGATCAAAACCAAATTCTAAAATCCAGACCACCTAATAATAATAATAATAATAATAATAATAATAATAATAATAATAATAATAATAATAATAATAATAATAATCGGGACCACATGTATACAGGTCACATTCTACTTTTATTTGAATTTTATTTTGTTTTATTTTTTTATCTTTTTGGTTTTCTTTTTCTGCAGGCAAAGAACTATTTGTATTTCAGAAATTCTATGGTGCCACATGTGGCATGTGTTATGGTGCCACAACATGATGTGACACATTATAATTGGTGCCACAACTATCATACATCATGTTGTGGCACCAATCATAATGTGCCACATCATGTTGTGACACCATAACACATACATCATGTTGTGGCACCAATCATAATGTGCCACATCATGTTGTGGCACCATAACACGTGCCACATGTGGCACCATAGAATTTCTAATATATATATATGTAATTATTATAATATGTGGAGTAAAAAACTAATTTGCTTTAGTGATCTAATTGATGGCCAAACAAGGAATGATGATATAACAGTAATTTATTTCTTTTTTTTTTTTTTTTTTT